CCCACACCCTCATCTTACCCATGTTTTAATGGCCCACACACCCTAACATGCCATCTACACTCCTAGTCATGTAGACAAGAGCCACCCTAATTCCTGCCCACACACACCCACTCAGTCACACATCTACAGTACCACCCACACTGGACCACCAACACTGCCATCCACATGGTCACCATCACACCACCTCAATGCTTCCAGCCTCCATCCCTACACCTTTTTAATACTCAACATGTGTAAACGAAAAATTATTTGTAGTATATAGTGTTCGCTACTATCCATGGTTTTCAGTATCCACAGCAGGTCTTGGAACATATCTTCAGTGGATATGGTGGTTCTACTGTATTACCACCACAAACTCATCTGACATCACTCTAGCTAATGATGTTAAGTTTATTTGCATTGTCCTTCACTGAGAATTAGCCCCTTAACTGTCCAAAAGTAGATCTACATTCTTAATGCTAGAGCTCCAAACATAGATCTATGTTTTATTTTTCCTGCCTCCAAATTTGGCATGATTGGCCTAAGATGCCTGGTCAGCATAGAATGGGTCTTAACTCTCGGTGTGTGCTGTTTAAAAAAAAATCTGGGATCACTTAGTACCTTGTGGGATCACCAGTTCCATTGAGCACCAGTTAGAGCCAACAGCATGGCAAACACCAAGGATTCACTGATGTCACGTCGTATTAACACTCCCCTTTTAACCCTTTGAGGGTCGAGAGGCCCTCTCCCAAACTCGTTCTCAGGGTCGAAAAATTTTCGAAAAAAAAATTATATTATGAAATGATAGAGAATCTTTTTCTGATCATAATGACTCCAAAAGTAAAAAAGTTGATGAAAAACTTACGGAATTATGCTCTTGCAAATATAGCGGTCTCAAAGTTGGAGATTTCGCCCACTTTGAGCCCTACTTTCGGCCAATTCCAATGTTGCAGTTGACTAAAATCATAGCCATTTCCCTAGAACTCCATTTGTTTTATCGATTGAGTACAAGAATCTGCCCATTTACCGATTTCAACTACCCAATAAAGTGGTCAGAAATTGGCAATTTGGGCAGTTTCACACAAATTTCAAAAGGTGCCAATTTCAAAATAGGGTTCAGAATAAACAAGACAGACATTCATGGCACTAAAATAACATTTTATCTGTTCATTAGTCATGTCTCTAAGCCCCTCTTACATTACTTTTGCTTTCCATTTTGAATTTTTATTCTCACAGAAAATGGAAAGTTTTCTGTTATGTATACTACTGCATCATTGTAGAAACAGTATAAATGATATCAGCGCACTTATGAAAGAATATTAGACTCACCAGTTGACGTGTATTGGAAGCGTGGCTTGATTTGTTTACTGTGGAATATCGGCAAAAATCGATCATTTTCGCTACTTCGAGCTCAATTTCAAGGTACTTGTCATCGTGAAACCAATCAAAACCATCTCTAATTCTGTAACATATCTTCCATTCTATCAAATGAGACCAAGGAAGCGAGAATACAACCATAAATACCATACGAAAATTCACTGGAAAGTTGCTGTTTTAAACCATAAACGCAGTTGAAGTTTTTTTTTTTCTCATGCACAGCGTGCTCAGATTTTTTTTTTATGCACACATGACCACCAGACCCATTCTTTCAATATACCTCCCCAGCTTTCTTCCGCAGATTGAAGGACTAGAATTTAGGCGTACAAGACGTGCCAAACCCCTGGCTGCAATGACTATTTGTACATTTCGCCCCTAAAAGGGGGTTAAAAGGGGAAAAGGTCATTTTCCCAGGATGTCTTATAACCTACCCCAAAGTAAAAAGAAACAATTCTGGAACTGTTTTTCGGCAGGGTGGCTGGCCAGCAGCTGGCTTGTCGTGGCAGCACTGGCTTGTCGTGGCTGGCTGTTTTGGCTGTCTTATCTCTGTCTGTCTGTCTGTATCTATCTCTGTCTCTATACTGTCTCTCCCTCACAGGAAACATATGTAAATAAAAATTTATACATATGAAATTCCTAGGATAACCCAAAATATCCAGCAAAGTGCTATGCTGTGCTTGTAGATAGAATCATGTGAAATACTATTGGTTCATAGCAAATCTCTGGAAGAAGATACAACGACAAACATTTTTTTGTGTAACAGTGAAAACAAAAAAAGGGAAGGCTCATTAAATGCCCACTTCATTAGCGAGAGATAAGATAATGCTCACAAATGGCACCACTGTCATTAGTGGGGGAAATATAAAGACACTACTTTGTAAACGTGGGTGAAAAGACAGATAAGTGACACACTTTTACACAAGCTTAAGGGGAAACTTGTTATTATTATTTATTATTATTTTTATTTATTTATTATTATTTATTTTATTTTATTATTTTATTATTTTTTTTATTTTATTATTATAAAATTTCCTGTGTATCCAAAACATTGCGGGGCCCTATAAAAACTGTGTATATATTTCCAGACAAATGGTATGTACAAGGAAGTTGAAAATGCTCACCTTCACTGTGTTTACCACTTTTG